AAGAAAGCCACCCAGCTAAGAGAGCATCAAGGACCCCACATTTCAACCCTGAGCTAGAAATATTCTCCTTTGCTGGAGCAACTTACTAGTGGCATCCTGGCTACCTTATATGCACGCATCTCTCCATCATAAAGCTACACATATAAACAAGATTGTGGTGTCGGTAGGCTCATAGATAGCAACGTTCGTCTGGCTTTTGTTCTCTCGTTGGGCTTGCAGTTAGAGGGGGCATCATAGCTGCCTTAACCAGAGGGGGGGGTCAAGCTTTGTGCCAAAACTGAGTCTTTTGTCTCCCCCCCCACCCCCACCCCAGGAAAATGCCAAGGCAGCCCACGCAAACGATGTCCCCTCTCCCGTTTCTCTTCTGTAATTGTAATTCTTCTCTGCCTCATTCCGAATGTCTTAATATCTTGTATTTATTTTTGTTGACCAAGTAAATGCTTTTCTTTTTATTTTTTAACTGGGCTGGTTCTTTTCTTCTACCACCCCGCAAACAACGGCATGCAAGTAATCCTCAACCCACACTTTCCATCCCCAAGCTGGGACATTTGTGCATTTCGGTCCCATTTGACACGCTTGCCGCTTGCTTGTCAAGCAAATCAGCGGAGTTGTTCATTGGCAACACGGTTGTGACGTGAAGCTGGCTCCCCCACGGACGTGGTTGGTCAGAAGGCCGCAGAACGGGAATCACGGGATTCCCGGGACCGTCCGAAATACGAACCAGTTGCCAAGTGTCCGAATTTTGATCCTGGGACCGTGGGGGATGCTTCGACGGTCGTAAGTGTGGAACAACAGTCCTAAGCTGCTTTTTGTTGGTGTCGTTGTAACTTGGAACAGTCACTAAATGAGTCGTCAGTTGAGAACGACCTGTTTTAGATGGAGGAGTCAAACAAGAAAGCCTGGATTACACTTAGATGCTCTTAAGGACATTTTTTCATTTCCATCTTCCAATCAAAGCATTCATTTAATACAGTGGTCTTCAAACTTGGCCACTTTAAGGCTTGTGGACTTCGACTCCCAGAATTCCTCAGCCAGCCCTGAGGGCTGGCTGAGGAATTCTGGGAGTCGAAGTCCACAAGCCTTAAAGTGGCCAAGTTTGAAGACCACTGATTTAATAAGGGGATAATGGATTAATTTGAATTTGGAAACCCTACAGATGTTTCATTATCAATCTGTGGTTTCCACCTGGGGCTGGTTTGGTTATGGCTGGTCACCTGGGAAGGAACATTTGCCCTGCTGCCTGGACACACAGCTGCCAAAATAGCCCATCTTAATTGGCAGATCTTCACATCTTTGAAGACTTACACTCAAGGTTCTAGATACAGTTTAGATGGATATTTGGGGGCCAAATTTCGTCTCGTGGTGAAGGCACCAGGCTAGCAGCCAGGAGATGGTGAGTTCTAGTCCCACCTTACACTTGAAAGCAGACTGGGTGGCTTTGGGCCAGTCGCCAGGAGATGGCGAGTTCTAGTCCCGCCTTAGGCATGAAAGCCGGCTGGGTGACTTTGGGCCAGTCGCCAGGAGGCGGTGAATTCTAGTCCCACCTTACACATGAAAACCAACTGGGTGACTTTGGATCAGTCGCCAGGAGACGGTGAGTTCTAGTCCCACCTTACACTTGAAAGCAGACTGGGTGGCTTTGGGCCAGTTGCCAGGATATGGCGAGTTCTAGTCCCGCCTTAGGCATGAAAGCCGGCTGGGTGACTTTGGGCCAGTCGCCAGGAGATGGTGAGTTCTAGTCCTGCCTTAGGCATGAAAGCCAAGTGGGTGACTTTGGACCAGTTGCCAGGAGATGGTGAATTCTAGTCCCACCTTACACATGAAAGCCAGCTGGATGGATGGGCCACCTCATCCGATTCTCCTGAAGACCCCGGATGGATGGATGGATGGATGTGCCACCCCATCCCGTTCCCCCCAGAGGTCATCCATCAAGGCCATCCCAGCCTCAGTGTTGTATTTTTGTGTGACAAAAGCTTCCGCAACCAATTTCGCTTAACAAAACATGTTCCCTGAATTGGGTCTGGCCGCCACGGTTACCTTTGCAAGCTGAAATGGTCTCTTGTCCATCCGGCCCGTTGTTTGCTTAGCATCTCAATCAAATCCTGGGCTGATGAGACCATGGCCAGTGAGACAGGAGACGTGACGTGCGTCTTGGCATCTGACCTCTGACGGTAGCTGTGTTTGCTTTTTTTTAAAATACACAATTTCAGAAGAGACACGCCAGGATAAAATTAGCCCATGGCCTTGCTTAAAATTAGATTTGCAAGTTTTCCATTGAGGATGGAGAGAAGAATGACGAGTAAATAACACTTTCTGTTTTGAGACTTTCCCCCCTCCCCTCTCTTTGGATCATAGTTAAAACGTCAGGAAGTTCTAGTTTGTTGCTGTTACCTTAAACCAGGGGTAGGCAACCTTGGCTCTTTTATGACTCATGGACTTCAACTCTTAGAATTCCTGAGCCAGCATGGGGGAAACTTTGGCCCCTTCATGACTTGTGGACTTCAACTCCCAGAATTCCTGAGCCAACATGGGGGAAAATTTGGCCCCTTCATGACTTGTGGACTTCAACTCCCAGGATTCCTGGCTCAGGAATTCTGGGAGTTGAAGTCCACAAGTTATAAAAGAGCCAAGGTTGCCTACCCCTGCCCTAAACAACTGCTGTTACTTTGCGTTCAGAAATACCTCGGTCTCTTTGTTTGTTTGTTTGTTTCCATTCTCTTCTTCTGGGGTCCCTTTCTACCTAGAAAATACAGGTAGTCCTCAACTTATCACGGCAACTGAGCCTGGAATTTGCTAAGCGAGACAGTTTTGCCCCATTTTACTACCTTTCTTCTCGCCATTAAGTGAATCACTGCAGTTGTTAAGTTAGCAACACGGTTGTGAAGTGAATCGGGCTTCCCCGTTGACGTTGTTTGTCAGAAGGTCACCAAAAGTGATCACATGACCCCGGGGACACTGCAAACCATCATAAATATGAATTAGTTACCAGTGTCCAAATTTTGATCGCTTGACCCTGGGGATGCCACAACGGTCGTCAGCATGAAATACAGTCATAAGCCACTTTTTTTCAGTGCCGTTGTAACGCTGAACGGTCACTAAACAAACTCTTATAAGTCAAGGACAACCTGTATTGTAGAATTCCCTAACAAGAGCAGCGCTGGCGCAGTGGCGGGAATGCAGTATTGCAGGCTGACTCTGCCCACTGCCAGCAGTTCGATCCTGACCGCTTCAAGGTGGACTCAGCCTTACGTCCTTTTTTCCGAGGTCGTTAAAATAAGGACCCAGATTGTTGGGGGTGAAGAGTTGTGTAACTGGAACAAAAAGAAATTGTGTAGCCTAACTATTGCTATCTCGCTTTCGTAAATCAGCATTTTGCATCCGGGACAAATTTCGGGCAAGCGTGGGAAAACATGTACGTAGATGGGATGTGCTGGAGGAGGGAATAAGGGAGTGTACAGGAATGATTGATGTCTTCCTTATGATGGAATGGCTCTGTTGTCTGATTTTCATGGGCTAACAACGCAATGCTACTAACTTTCTAAGGTGTGGCACTTCTAGATGTAAGTCTCCCAGCGTTCCCAATTGTTTGCCACCCAGCTGTTTTATTTGATCAATTAAAGCACTATTTCCTTAAGAAGGCTCCGCTTGAGGTGCCTGATTAGACTTTTAATGTAAGGTGACCAACCGTCCTCCTTTAGGGAGGACAGTCCTCCTTTTGTGAGTTCTGTCCTCCCTCAAAAAGTGTCCTCCTTCATGTCCTCCTTTTCGATATTTGAAGACTAATCTGCAGGGCTTTTTTTTCTCATAAAACGCTCAGAACGGCGTTCCGGTACCTTTTTTTGATGTTTTTTTTTCAACTTTTGCATGAGCTGTGCTACTCCCCCTATTGGCTTTCGAAAACCAATAGGAATGGCTGCTGAGCGCGCCAAAACACCCGGCCGGCAAACTTTGCACATGCAAGTTGTCTGTATTATTGTTGCAATGAATAAAATGTTTCTTTTATTTACGATATTTTTTTCTTCAATTTATTTATGTCCTCCTTTTCATTGTAAAAAAGTTGGTCACCTTATTTAATGGTATCTCAAATTTAAGTAAGGGCCAGGGACCTTACAGGGGCAAAATGCTGACTCTGTAAAACACTTAGAGAGGGCTGTAAAAGCACTGTGAAGCAGTGTATAAGTCTAAGCCAGGGATTTTCAACCAGTAGTACAGGTACCACCTGTGGTACATTGGCACCTGGCAGGTGGTACGCGACCATCCTAGAAAAGGGGTAGCAGGGGAGGGGAATGAGCTGAACCGGTGGCAGCACCACACAAACCTGAGCGAGAGACGGCTGGAGCTGCAGGGCTGTCAGGACTCAGCGGAAGCGCCAGGATCAATGCCGCTTTCCAGCTGATTGGCGCTTCTTTGGGGCTGTCAGGGCTCAGTGGAAGCGCCAGGATCAGCGCCAGGCTCCAGCTGGAGCTCTGTGCTGATCCTGGCACTTCTGCTGAGCTCTGAAGAAGCGCCGATCAGCTGGAATGTTGCAGCATCTCCAAGGTCTTATGATTTACATTCAGATGCTTGGCCACTGATTCATATTTATGACGGTCACAGTGTCCCAGGGTCATGTGAAGAGACCAAAACCTGCTGCAACCACCCAGCAGACGGGGGGAATAAAAACCAAACACCCCCCCCCCACCGCACTTCCGCTGCCAATCCTGAACAGAAATGCTCACAACAATGAAAACCTCGGACAGGAGGAAGAGCGTGGCCAGGCGGGCAGGCCGTTGTCTTGCTCGGCTGTGGCTTGGGAGGCACTTTTTTCAATGCCATTGTAACTGTCAGACCCAGCGTAAAACATCTTGAATAAGCTTACAGTAACTTTGAACAGTCACTAAGTGAACTGTTGTAAGTCGAGGACTATCTGTACTTTTATCACTTTTTTCCTTTTTTTGGGGGGGGGTCATCACGTTTTTGACACCTTGTTAGGCGACTGGTGGTACTTGGATATTGCCATATCCTAAAAGTGGCACAGTGGTTGAAAAGGTTGAAAAGCCCTGGTCTAAGCACTATTGCTATTGTCCCATCCAAATTTTCCCCATGGCCAATCTTGCTTAGCTTGCAAGCTTAGTCTAGGCCAGTGGCTAGCTGGGACCAACCGAGGCTAAATATTTTATAAGGATGTTTTTCATTAAGTCTTTCCAAGATCGAGAGGGTCAAAAAAGCAGACTGGTGAAAGAGTCCCAGCATTGCACAGCGTCAGCAAAGCATCCCGGAGACTCAAAGACTTCCACTGAGCTAAGAGGCAGCAAAGATCAAATTGGGTGACCAATGACTTGGCCGGCGCATGGGAAGGACTATAAGTATCCAGAGCGTAGTGCTTGAACACCGATCACATCTCAGCACAAAGGAGGAGGACCTAAAAAGCCATTGGAGGTAAGCAGATTTTTTTTGCTAAGCTTCTCTTCAGATTCGCATCTTCTTAGCAACTTGGATTAAGGGAGGGATACGAAATTATATGTTTGTGAGTGTATGCATTATTATTATTATTATTATTATTATTATATTATCATCGCCGTTGTCGTCATCATCATTTTGTTATGTTTATGCAGTGTATATTGGAGGTGCTTACCTTTTGAGAGTTGTAGACAACGAAATCTCATTTTTAATGTATGCTGATTAATGTAAAGTGTCAGTAAAGTCATTATTCTATTCTATTCTATTCTATTCTCTATATTCTATTCTATTCGCATTCTCTTCTATTCTAGTCTTCATTCTAATGTATTGTATTGTATTCTGCATTCTATTCTGCATTTTATTCTATTCTATTCTGCATTCTATTCTATTCTATTCTATTCTGCATTCTATTCTATTCTCTATATTCTATTCTATTCTATTCTATTCTATTCTATATTCTATTCTTTTCTATTCTTCATTCTATTGTATTGTATTGTATTCTGCATTCTATTCTGCATTCTATTCTATTCTATTCTGCATTCTATTCTGTATTCTATTCTATTCTATTCTATTCTAATTAATTAGATTTTCAAATGGGCACATATATTTATTGCAATTGCAGACAATGTAAGATTGCAAAGATGCAAAGTTCCCTGAGTTGTATTGCAATGCTTTTTGTTTTTACATCCCAACCAGGAGGAGGAGGAGGAGGAGGAAGAGGAGGAGGAAGAGAACTGTGATTCCTTGGTGATCTCTGAGCTTGGTGGTTTTCTTGCAGACGTTTCATTGCCCAAACTAGGGAACATTATCAATGCTAGTGCACGAAAACAACCAAACTCAGAAAGCAGCAAGGAAACACACACCCCAGTACACATTGCTGCCTCCAGATCTTCCTCCTGAACATTAAAGGGAGAGGAAAGAGATAGATAATGCAGAAAATCCTCCTTCTAGCACCGATGACTTTCCCTAGTTGGGTCATGAAACGTCTGCAAGGAAACCACTCAGCTCAGAGAGCACCAAGGAGCCCACAGTTGTCTTCCTCCTCCTCCTCCTCCTCCTCCCCCCACACTCCCTTCTTGCACTGATGACGTTCCCTAGTTGGGTCATGAAACGTCTGCAAGGAAACCACCCAGCTCAGAGAGCACCAAGGACAATACCTATTGAGGTGGATCCCTTATAAATATTCTTCTGCATGTTATTTTCTTTCTTTTTTAGTTATATATTTATAGATTTTAATACTTCTATTCTATTCTATTCTATTCTATTCTATTCTATTCTACTCTACTCTACTCTACTCTACTCTACTCGTTATTTCTATTTCTATTCTATTCTCTCCATAATTGTGTTTCTCTTATTTTTTATTGAAATTTTTATAAACTTTTTACAATAAAATCCCTCCCCACCTCCCTCCCTCCCTCCCCACCCCCCCATTAACCCTCCCCCCTTCCCAGAGCTGAATACAGAGCTAAAAACAACAGAAGAAAAAACATAAAAATTAAATAAACATACATAAATCCTAAAAAATTAAAAAAAACCTTTAACTCCATTACATTAAAATCAACATTAAAATCAACAAATCTCATAGCAACTTTACACTATAAGTTATTCAAAAGCTAAATAATACTTTCTAATCCCATATTTATTCTGAACAAAATTTACCCATCTTTTCTATAATTGTGTTTCTCTTAATATTACTGAGTGCTGACAGTATGCTGACAGTATGCTGACAGTAACTCGAATGCTGACAGTAACTCTGGCAAGAAAAATGGCAAATTTCCATTCTTCCCCTTCCTTCCAGATTCCGCAGAGATCGCGGGGGCTGAAGACCACATCATGGTGTGCCAAAGAGCCTTCTTGATATTCTGCATCCTTTTTTCTATCAGCATCCAACTGACAAGAGCCCAGCACTGGTCCCACGGCTGGTATCCCGGAGGAAAGCGAGAAATTGCATTGCCCAGAAACTTTGAGGTATATCAACACTAGCCCAGATCATCCGTCCACCTCTCTCGTTCCAGATTCAGTGTTAAACTGAATGATCTTATCCCAAAGTAGCCAGCTAGTCAAAGAGGATGGAAGCTGTGGACCAATACTTTGAGTGGCTACCAACTCAGGGAAGACAGACCTAAATCTACGGTCTTATTTTTCTCTTCTCTCATTCCCAGGACTCTGAAGAGAGCAGACTTTGTGACGAAGGTGGTTGTCCATATCTGAAAGTCCCAAGTGATAAAGTGGTGAAGCATTTACTGGTAAGCAATTGGATTTTGTCTGTAGAGATCCTCACCCCTCCAGGTTGTGGTTGTCCCAACGGTGCTTTCCCAAAAGGCAACTGGGCTCGCTTTTCCTTGAAAACGTTGGGCTTCCCACCTAAAGGTCTGGAGAAGCTTCTGGGGCGAGAAGCAAAATGTTTTCCGAGAAAGGAAGGAAGAAAAAAACCAAGTCAATCCAGTTGACTTTTGGAAAAGCACCCTTGGGGACAAGCCATTGGATTCTGAAGTCTGCTTCTTCTGGAGAAGATCGGGCTGCTTGATGAAAAGATCCCTTGTAGGAGAGCTTCTTGGCACATCTTTGGTGAGAAGTGAAACGGGGGGGGGGGTTGGATGGCCTTCGATGAGACTGAGTAACAGCCTCTTTGCAGTCTTACACTCTTTTGAGAAAAGAGGTTGGCCAAGGACCAAGGCTTCAAGACAGCCTAAACAAGATGCTGTCTTGTTTAGTGCTTTGTGAATATCGCATCCAGTTTTGGTCAGCATGATGTAAAAAAAGATGTTGAGACTCTAGAAAGAGTGCAGAGAAGAGCAACAAAGACAATTAGGGGACTGGAGGCTAAAGCATATAAGGAACGGTTGCTGGAATTGGGGATGTCTAGTTTAATGAAGAGAAGGACGAGGGGGGACAGGATAGCAGTCTTCCAGTATCTCAGGGGCTGCCCCAAAGAAGAGGGAGTCAAGCTATTCTCCAAAGCGCCTTAAGGCAGGACAAGCAACGGATGGAAACTCATCAAGGAGAGAAGCAACCTAGAACTAAGGAGAAACTTCCTGACAGTGAAAACAATTAACCAGTGGAACCACCCGCCTCCAGAAGTTGTGGGTTCTCCAACACTGGAGGTTTCTAAGAGACTGGACAGCCATTTGTCTGAAATGGTATAGGGTTTCCTGCCTGAGCAGGGGGTTGGACTAGAAGACCTCCAAGGTCCCTTCCAACTATTCTATTCTATTCTATTCTATTCTATTCTATTCTATTCTATTCTATTCTATTCTTATTTCTATTCTATTCTATTCTATTCTATTATTCTAAAATGGTATAAGGTTTTCTGCCTGAGCAGGGGGTTGGACTAGAGGACCTCCAAGGTCCCTTCCAACTATTCTATTCTGTTCTGTTCTATTCTATTCTATTCTATTCTAATTTCTATTCTATTCTATTCTATTCTATTATTCTAAAATGGTATAAGGTTTTCTGCCTGAGCAGGGGGTTGGACTAGAGGACCTCCAAGGTTCCTTCCATCTATTCTATTCTATTTTGGCCACTACTGTAATCAAAAGGAGGTCAATGCAGATGTATAATCTACATCATTCAGTCAACGTGCGGCAATTTGCTTTTTGTATTTTAATCTGGTTTCCAACCGGAGAAGTTTTATCAGCTCAGGAAAATCCAATTTATTTGTAATTCTTCTTTTAAAATTAAAAATGAAGCTAATGCAATCGGGATCTATCTCTTATTTACAAGACCTTATTTTCAATTTTATCAGGCTGGCATCCTGACCGGACAACTTCAAAAAAAGAAATGAAAAAAGAAAAGAGCTCCTTTCTTAAGGAAGAATGGGAGGCCTAGAAACATATATAAATGAAATATAAATAAAGAAATAATTAAAATAGTCCTGTGCTTTTGGAAATCATTTGCTCCTGAACATTAGCTGTCCTCCCTCTTAACCTCTCATGACTTGCTTGTTGATTTAACATCCTTTGTGCCTCTGAGAGCTTCTGAACGGTGAAGCTAGCATTACAGATTCCCTACAAACAAACATTAAATAGAAAAAGGTCGAAGAAAAAAAACACATGGCTGACCAATTGGAACAAACTCCCACGGAAAAGTCCTTTGTGAATGTGAAAATACCAATATATTGAACAAAATGCTTTATTTTATTTTTTTTTGCTATGTATCTATAGATATTTCTGCACGGAACAAAATGCTTTATTTTTAACCGGGCCTCTATAGATATTTCTGCAGTCAAATGCAAACTTAGGTTTTTCCAAATCTTTTTCCCAACGATCACAGCCTTAAAGTTTCAGACAAGGAACTTTCAACATTTGTGACACACTAAATCAGCACCAGTTGCCTTTTTTCTTCCCGGGACATTGGCAAAGTGCACGATCTTTTCAAAATTCCAGATTTATATTAAAATGTTCTACAGATGGCATCTAACACCCGTGAGGTTAGCAAAAATGTTTAAAAATGTATCAAGCAATTGTTGGAAATGTAAACGAAAACCAGGCACCTATAAACCATCTTTGGTGGACATGCTCTAAAGCCAAAAGATTTTGGTTTACATACATGGTTAGAGAAAATAATGAAAAAACATATAGAGTTTAAGCCAGAATTATTTTTGTTAGCCATAATTGTAGGAAATTATGAGAAAGAGTGTATATATTTAATTTTACATATATTAACTGCAGCAAGAATTGTATTCCCTCAATATTGGAAAAATGAAGATTTACCAACGGAGGAAGTGTTAATTAAATTTTTTTTAGAGTGTGCAGAAATGGATAGGTTTTGAAAACAAAAGAAAAAGAAGACTCAGTTTATTTTAGACTATGGGATACCTTTTATCATTGGTTAGAAAAACGAGGTAGAAAGAAACTTAATACGGGTTAGTAAGCTAGTTATTGAAATCCAGACAATATGTTGCCGGCAAAATATTAAGTACTTGTGATTATAAAAAAACTAATAAAAGTATATTTAAAAAAAAATAATCCAGATTTTTATTTAATTTTGGGAGACGCTTCAGATTCTCTGGTATAGAAACACCGAAGTGCTGCAAACGGACGGCAGAAAAAGACTTACTGGTCCATCAAGTCTGCTTTTTTGAGTTTTCTTTTTAAAGTTGATTATTTTTAATTACTGTGTTTATATTTTCTTTTTTCTTTTTTGTCAGATGATGGACAGGTGTTTACCCTAAATATTACAGTTTCTGTTCTGGCCTTCTAAACTTATAGCCCTAAAAGACGTTTTTCTAGTCCATGTATAGATATGGACAAGGTCTATAAAGGTCATCAAATTTGGAGAAATTAACCTAAAGATTCCCAATGCTTAATCTGGGAAATTCTGGGCATTTTCTCTAGAAATTGCAACCGCCGATTTACTCACATGGTACCGCAAGTCTTCCACCCGTCCCAATGCTACTTTTCTTTTACTACAGCTTTTACGCAGAACACTGTTGACCATTGGTGTTTTCTGTGTGAGTTTTATTCGAGCAAGATTGCAATTTTGCTAGAATGATTTCAAAGGACAAGGAGTCCTCGACTTATGACAGCTGAGCCCCAAATTTCTTTTGCTACCCGAGACAGCTGTGAAGTGAATTTTGCCCCATTTAACCACCTGTCCTGCCATGTTGTGAAGTGAATCGCTGTAGTTGTTAAGTTACAGTAGTTGGCCAAAATGGCGGAAACCTTTTGGGAAAAGCGTACAGGAGAAATGCCCCCTTTGGTTAAGTTTCCACCTATTTTTCTTCTCATTTCTTTATAACTTTATAAGCATTGTTCACTTGATAATACTATTTTACACTGCTTTCTGGGCGACCAGTCAACTCTTTGCACCATGGCTTTAATTTTATTACATTTTACAAGCTCACTAAGTGAAAGAACACAAAAAAACCCCAACTGACTTGATGGCGATCACATAACACACTGACAAATGTCCTCCTCTCAGCTTCAATACAGGACATCAATCACTGGATCCGACTGTGATCTGATTGGCTCATGGCCAAAACCAGATGACACCCAATTGGCTCTCTAAACACTCATGCTCATTGGCTACAATCAGATGAAGGAAAGCCACCTGATATCAACCTAAACAAGTTGTGCTTCCTTTTCCTGCTTATTTGGCTATAACTTTTCATAGAACACAGTACAGAGAATTGAACAAACTTGGTTGCATTATGTTCTTGATTAAATTATCTTTCCATCAATATATAATTTTATGGTACTACTCCCCTCCCCAAAAAGTGGTGTTATTAGCCAACAAACCTCAAAACTACACTTTTCCCAAAAGGTTTCCACAATTTTGGTTACTACTGTGGTAACAGGGTTGTTATGTGATTCTGGCTTCCCCGTTAACTTTGCAACCAGCGCCAAGCATCCAAGTTTGGATCACGTGAGCCACGGGGAATGTGTTAACGGTCGTGTGAAAAACGTTGCTAAGTTGCTGTTTTTTTGTGCCGCTGTAACTTTAAAAGAATGGCTGTTAAGTCTACCTGTTCTGAAAAAATCTGTGTGAGTTACCAGTTGTGTAGCAGGCACGGATTTATGGGTTGGCATTGATCGTTACTGTCCAAAATGGCTTAGGAATTCACCATCCAAGCACCCAGGTGCGTGCTGAAAAACAAGACGAGCGGAAATAAACCTCTCAAAAGCCAGAAAATAAAATACTGCGTTTAATTTCTGAGCAATCCAGAGAAACCTAGCTAATAGGTCAGTTGTTTTTCAAAGAAAAGAGAGACAGGATCAAAAGCTGATCGGGGTTCTTAAAAACGCAGAAACGACGGAGGATGAGATGCTCAAAAACCCAAAATCTCGGAAGAGGATCCATTTCTTTCTGCAAAAGGGCCGTTATAACAGCTGCAAAACCAGATTCGCCCCGTTTGGAAAGCATGAATTATCTGCCACTCCCCGTTTTGAGGGTAGCGATGCTGATGGGGTGGAGCGTGTGCAATCACTCATGGCAAACCTCGGATCTGGATGGAAAGTGTCCTTCCTCCAAGAGTTGGTTATTGCATGGCGGTCCTCTTAACTATCCTGCCGTCTTTATCGACGGCGAAATTGTAATTCTGGGTCTTGTTCAGGCACTCCTCGATCCGCTGATCCAGGTTTTCAAGGGTGATGAAATTCTTGGATTCTTCCTGGATCGACAGAAAGGAGAAAGCAAGGATGAGATCAAAGCTAAACGACCCTGAGGCGTGTCGTTAAGGTGATGCTTCATGCTCGGCGTCACGAGAAATGAAGAGACGGCCTAATAAAAATGTATTTAATTGCAGAATGACAGCTCTCTTTCGCTCCCTGGGCGGCTGACAAAATAAATAAATAAATACAAACCCAACACACAAACTGCAAAAGCAATCTGCTAACCCTCTAATCTGAAGCCGTCGTTTGCAAAACGGCGGCTGACAAACTCAGATTAAGTCAAGCTGTCTGTAAGGAACGGTGGCTGGAATTGGGTCTGTCTGGTTTAATGAAGAGAAGAATGAGGGGTGACATGATAGCAGGGTTCCACTATCTCAGGGGCTGCCCCAAAGAAGAGGGAGTCAAGCTCTTCTCCAAAGCCCCTGAAGGCAGGACAAGAAGCAAGGGATGGAAACTGATCAAGGAGAGAAGCAACCTGGAACTAAGGAGAAACTTCCTGACAGTGAGAACAATTAACCAGTGGAACAACCTGCCTCCAGAAGCGGTGAATGCTCCATCCAACACTGGAAGTGTTTAAGAAGAGACTGGACAGCCATTTGTCTAAAATGGTAGAGGGTTTTCTGCCTGAGCAGGGGGTTGAACTAGAAGACCTCCAAAGTCCCTTCTAACTTCATCATCATCATCATCTAGTAGTAGTAGTAGTAGTAGTAGTAGTAGTAGTAGTAGTAGTAGTAGTAGTAGTGATATACACCTACACTAGGGGTTGGCAACCTTGGCTTTTATGAATCATGGACTTCAACTCCCAGAATTCCTGAGCCAGTATACGGAATTATGATCCCTTTATGATCTGTGGACTTCAACTCCCAGAATTCCTGAACCAGCGTGGCTCAGCTTGGAAACTTCTCCCTTTCCCCTCAGCATGGCTGGCTCAGGAATTCTGGGAGTTGAAGTCCACGAGTCATAAAAGAGCCAAGCTTGCCCACCCCTGGCCTAGAGCCTACGCCACTTTATGACTCATGGACTTCAACTCCCAGAATTCCTGAGCCAGCCTGGCTCAGCTTGGAAACCTCTCCCTTTCCCCTCAGCATGGCTGGCTCAGGAATTCTGGGAGTTGGAAGTCCACGAGTCATAAAAGAGCCAAGGTTGCATACCCCTGACCTACACCCTTACAAGTTAAGTAACATATAAATATTAATCCCTGTCCATCTTGACTACATGGCCAAGGTCATTGACGCAGGTGATTGAGGGAGAAGTGAACTGTTCCCGTAACAAAAAGAAATATTATCATTGGACCGTGTGAACGCCCGGTGGGTGGGGGCATAGGAATCTGATGTTTAACTAAGCAAGCTTCCGCGCTGGAAAACCCGGGAGCTGGTTTTGCTTCTTCAGTTCCGAGATGCTGTACTCAATAATTAAGTTGTGCTTACTGGGACTCGACTGCCTTGAGGATTCCTTTTGTTGGTTTCGCTGGCCGGACTGTTGACCTTTAAGATGGGATCTGAAGGAAAGCTTATTTATTTATTAAATTTGTATGTTGTCCATTTCACCAAGAAGCAACGCTCGGCGGCTTCCAACCAAGGGAACACAAGAAGACATTAAAATAACAACTAACGTTTAAAATGGACCACAGGCAGTCCTCGACCTTCAACGATTTATTTCGTGACCGAAGTCGCAACAGCACTGAAAAAAAGCGGCTTTTACGGCCGTTTTTTCACACTTAAGACCGTTGGTCGGGCGATCAAAATTCAGACACCCAGCAAATTACTCATTATTTACAGCAGTGGCCAACATTGTGGAAACCTTTTGGGAAAAGTGTATTTTTGAGGTTTGATGGCTAATAACACCACTTTTTTTTTGGGAGTAGTACCATAAAATTATATATCGATGGAAAGATAATTTAATCAAGAACGTAAGGCAACGAAGTTTGTTCAATTATCTGTACTGCATTCTATGAAAATAAGCAGAAAAAGGAAGCACAACTTGCTTAGGTTGATATCAGGTGGTTTTCCTTCCTCTGATTGTAGCCAATGAGCATGAGTGTTTAGAGCAGCGATTCTCAACCTTTTTAATGCTGCAACCCCAACCGGTCGTAAGTCGAGGACTACTCAACCGGTCGTAAGTCGAGGACTACTCAACTGGTGCAGCACCGTTTGCAGAATGGGACTTTTGGCGGGCTCAGCAGGGCAGAGACAGCCTGGACAATTCCTATTGGCTTTTGAAAGCCAATAGAATTAGACTCTATTCAAGAGAGTCTATTCTATTGGCTTTCAAAAGCCAATAGAATAAAAGGGAGTAGCACAGCTAAGGAAAAGGGGGGGAAAAATGGCGGACTGCGTTGTTTGGCGACCCCCGTGAAATGGCCGTTCGACCCCAATTGGGGTCCCGACCCACAGGTTGAGAGCCACTGGTTTAGAGAGCCAATCGAGTGTCATCTGATTTTGGCCATGAGCCAATCAGATCACGGTAGGATTCAGTTATCCATGTTCTGTATTAAAGCTGAGAGGAGGACATTTGTCAGTGTGTTGTGTGATGGCTATCAAGTAGACTGGGTTTTTTGTGTGTGTGTTCTTTCATTTAGTGAGCTTGTAAAACGTAATAAAATTAAAGTCACGGTGCAAAGAGTTGACTGGTCGCCCAGAAAGCGATGGAAAATAGTATTATTAGGTGAACAAGGCTACAGTTATAAAGAAATGAGAAGAAAAATAGGTGGGAACTTAACCAAAGGTGGAATTTCTACTGTATACATTTCCCAAAAGTTTTCCACCATTTTGGCCACTACTGTATAACGGTCGCAGTGCACCCAGGGGTCATTTATGTCCCCTTATGTGACCCTTCTGGGGAGCAAAGTCAAATGGGGAAGCCAAATTCACTGAACGACCATCCTACTCATTTAACAACTGCAGCGATCCGCTTAAGAACGGGGGCGAGAAAGGGCGTGGAATGGGGCAAAACTCACTTCACAAGTGTCTCACTGTGCAACAAAAATTAATTGGATTAATTGTGGTCGTTTGTTACCGCGTCCTGACTTCAGACTCCAGCTATCATCAAACAAGCACTACGCCAGGTACGAGGAACAACGCTTTAATAATTTTCACGACGGCTGCACAAAGTTAGCACTAGGGATCAGTTCTCCCAAGTATGCTTTTTATACATTTTCTTTTACCAGTCAAGCCATTTACTTTGGGCAGAAATGTCCTGTTTCTGTCTGGTGGCCTCCGGGAATTTACTTCCTCTTAAGGGACGGCCCTTGGACAAATCCTAGGAGTTGCAACTGATAGTACGCTTCTAACAGAAAGGGAAAACGGGAGGGAAAAAAAAGTCGAGGGCTGCCTGTACGAAGTTCCGGCGAAGATGACGGACTGGAGCCTTGGGGCTTTCCTACCTGTAAGCGAAGCACTTCCATTTCTTTCTCCTTGAGGGATTTCTCCCGCAAGGACACCCTGTTTTGGTCACTTTGTAGCTTGCGGGCTTTCTCCTGTATTTCCTCCTTCCGGAGACGCTCCAACCTATTGCGGGAAAGAGGGAAGGAATGTGACAAATACAGAGATATTCTCCTCTCCTTTTCTCGCCAGGGGCCGGAATCCTAGAATCCTAGGGCTGGGAAGGAAGCCTGGAGGTCTTCTAGTCCAACCCCCTGCTCAAGGCAGGAGTCCTTCTTACACCATCCCAGTCAAATGGTTGCCCAATCTAGTTTTCAAAACCTCTAGTGATGGAGGAGACTAGCTATTCCACTAACCCACTAATCCAGGGGTAGGCCACCTTGGCTCTTTTATGACTGGTGGACGTCAACTCCCAGAATTCCTGGGTCAGCCATGCTGAGGGGAAAGGGAGAGGTTTCCAAGCTGAGCCAGGCCGGCTCAGGAATTCTGGGAGTTGAAGTCCACGAGTCATCAAATGGCCTAGGCCTAGGGCAGGGGTAGGCAACCTTGGCTCTTTTATGATTGCTGGCCTTCAACTCCCAGAATTCCTAGCATGGCTCAGCTTGGAAACCTCTCCCTTTCCCCTCAGCATGGCTGACCCAGGAATTCTGGGAGTTGAAGTCCATGAGTCATAAAAGAGCCAAGATTGTCTACCCTTGCACTAATCAATTGTTCTAACTAAGGAAGTTTCTCCTTACTTCTAGGTTGCTTCTCTCCTTGATTAGTTTCCATCCATTGCTTCTTGTCCTGCCTTCAGGGGCCTTGGAAAATAGCTTGACTCCCTCTTCTTTGTGGCAGCCCCTGAGATACTGGAACACTGCTATCCTGTCCCCCCTCGTCCTTCTCTTCGTTAAACTAGAGCAGGGGTAGGCAACCTTGGCTCTTTTATGACTCGTGGACTTCAACTCCCAGAATTCCTGAGCCAGGAAAGCATGCTGGCTCAGGAATTCTGGGAGTTGAAGTCCACGAGTCATAAAAGAGCCAAGTTTGCCTCCCCCCTGAACTAGACATACCTAATTCCAACAGCTGTTCCTTATATGCTTTAGCCTCCAGTCCCCCTGATCATCTTTGTTGCTCTTCTTTGCACTCTTTCCAGAGTCTCAACATCTTTTTTACATCATGGCGACCAAAACTGGATGTAGCATTCCAAGTGTAGCCTCACCAGTGCGCTAGAGGGAAATACTATCACTTCTCCTGATCTTGATTCTGTCTAATTTGTGGAATGAGGCAGGCGTGCACTGGTTTTACCTCCGCTCGAGTAAACGCTTATTTTCGGCATCGTTCAAGGCCATGAGACCTTGATGCTCCTCTTGCTCAGCTTTATTCCTCTTCTTCGCCGTTTCTCCGAACATGAAATCGTAGTTTTTATGCTTTATTTCTTCCATCATCTCAAATCTAGCAGAGAACCCAGGACAGAATGTTAAAAGTTTTCATCCCCAGGCTGCAAGAGCCCTCTAATCTTTCAGCATCCCTAAATTCTTTTGATTTAACTGAGGGGGGTCTTCAAACTTGACCCTTTTATGACTTGTGGGGTTCAACTCCCAGAATTCCTCAGCCAGGCACACTGGCGGAAGAATTCTGGGAGTAGAAGTCCACAAGTCATAAAAGGGCTAAGTTTGAAGACCCATGATATAGACAGACACACATAAATAGATGATGGATGGATGGTAGATGATAAATGATAAATAACAGATATAGATAGGTATAGATAGATCACAGATAGAGAAGGATGAAGACAAACAGATATATAGAGAAATAAGAGAGATGGATGGGTGGTAGATAATAAATGATAAATAGGCAGGTATAGATAGATCATATACAAAGATATAGACAGATAGACATAGATAGATAAAATAGACATAGATAGATAGAGAAATAATAGAGAGAGATGGATGGATGGATGGATAATGATAGAGAAATAATAGAAAGGTGGATGAAATGGATGGATGGACAAAGACAGATGATAGATGATTAGATACACGATAGATTAGATATAGATTAGATAGAGATGATATAGATAAGTGATATAAATGATAGTTATATAGAGATATAGATTAGCCAATAAATGATAGATTAGGATAAGAAATGATAGATTAGATATAGAGGATAGTTTTATATAGATTAGATGATAGATTAGATAGATAAGATACATGATAGATTAGATATAGATTAGATACAGATAGAGATAATGATATAGATAAGAGATATATAGATGATAGTTAGAGATATAGATTAGACAATAAATGATACATTAGAATAGATAAGAGAGATGACAGATTAGAGATGTAAATAATAAACAGATGATAGTTTTTTATGTATAGATTAGATGATAGATGATTAGATAGATAAGATACACGATAGATTGATTAGATATAGAGACAATGACAGATATAGGTAAGAGATAGATATAGATGAGTTATATAGATATAGATGAGACGATAAATGATAGATTAGAATTGATAAAAGATGACAGATTAGATATAGATGATAGTTTTATATAGATTAGATGATAGATTAGCTAGATAAGATACATGATAGATTAAATATAGATTAGATACAGATAATGATATAGATAAGAGATATATAGATGAATTATATAGATGAGACGATAAATGATAGATTAGAATTGATAAGAGATGACAGATTAGATATAGATGATAGTTTTATACAGATTAGATGATAGATTAGCTAGATAAGATACATGATAGATTAAATATAGATTAGATACAAATAATGATATAGATAAGATATATAGATAGTTATATATAGATTAGACAATAAATGATAGATTAGAATAGATGAGATGACAGATTAGAAATATAGATGATAGATGTTATATATAGATTAGATGATAGATGATTAGATAAGATACACAGATTAGATACAGATTAGTTACAGATAGAGATAATATAGATAAGAGATATATAGCTTGTTATATAGATATAGATTAGACGATAATTGATATATTAGAATAGATAAAACAGATTAGAGATGTAGATAAATAGATGATAGATATATATATAGATTAGATGATAATTAGATAACATATAATAGATTAGATTAGAGATAATGACAGATATAGAAAGAGATAGATATAGATGACAGTTATATAGAGATATAGATTAGACGATAAATGATAGATTAGAATAGATAAGAGATGACAGATTAGATATAGATAGTTTTATATAGATGATAGATTAGGTAAATAAGATACATGATAGATATAGATTAGATACAGATAGAGATAATGATATAGATAAAAGATATATAGTTAGAGATATAGATCAGACAACAAATGATACATTAGAATAGATAAGAGAGATGACAGATTAGAGATGTAGATGATAAACAGATGTTTTATATGTATAGATTAGATGACAGATGATTAGATAGATAAAATACATGATAGATTAGATTAGATATAGAGATAATGACAGATATAGATAAGAGATATAGATGACAGTTATATAGAGATATAGATGAGACAATAAATGATAGATTAGGATAAGAGATGACAGATTAGATATAGATGATAGTTTTATATAGATTAGATGATAGATTAGATAGATAAGATACATGACAGATATAGATTAGTTACAGATAGAGATAATGATATAGATAAGAGATATATAGAGATATAGATTAGACAATAAAGATACATTAGATAAGAGAGATGACAGATTAGCGATGTAGATGATAAACAGATGATAGTTTTATATGTATAGATTAGATGATAGATGATTAGACAGATAAGATACACTATAGATTAGATAGAGATAATGACAGATATAGATAAGAGATAGATGACAGTTATATAGAGATATAGATGATACATTAGAATAGATAAGAGAGCTGACAGATTAGAGAAATAGATGATTGACAGGTAAGCTTAGACAGACAGACAGATGACAGATAGATCATCTTCTCTTCAGCAGCCCGGAGATCCTCACCAGATCCTTTCCTGCCCTTCCAAGGACCCTCCCGGGCCTTCCCCGCTGGGGAGGATGGGCTCAGCAGTCCCGGGGGAGGGGGCTCACCTGAGGGCGGCCACCACCCGCCGGTGCTGCTCGTAGCGGTCGAGGACGACCAGCAGCTCGGCCGGGTCGACGGGCGGCGGCACCTTGATCCGGTCCGCCTTGGATTTGGCCGGAGGGTCGCGGCGGGTCTTGCGGCCGCGGGAGGGCACCAGGCTCGGGGCGCCGCGGCCCAGTAGGGCGGCCCGGCCGGGAAGGCCCCGCAACCCCGCCGCCAGCATCGGACCGGAAACGCGGGCCCAGCGCCTCGGGGACGGGAACCGGAAGGGCCGCCAGGGACGCCGGGAAATGCAGTCCTGCCCACCGCGAGAGGAAGAGCGAGCAGAAAAAAAACAGCGCCCTTTTTCTTTTCCGCGCCCCCCGACCGGAAGTTCCGTTAGGAATGAGGGCGCACGCGGGGAGCTTCCGGTCTAGCGGCGGAAGAGCGTCCTCTCAATCCCGGAAGTAGCCCCCTCCCGGGTGTGTGTGGGACTTGAAGTGCCCTTCTAGGATTTCTGGCCAATAGGTGTCTGATTGTTCCTGAGGCTTGCATTCTCACGTTGATTCCGTAATACTCTCCGGGATGTTCTTTTGCATCCCGGTCTGTGTGGTTCTTTTATTTCCAAACCTAGAAAGTGGCCATATTAAGCCCCAGGTAGACATAGACCAGGGGTGGGCAACCTTGGCTCTTTTATGACTCATGGACTTCAACTCCCAGAATTCCTAAGCCAGCCATGCTGAGGGGAAAGGGAGAGGTTTCCAAGCTGAGCCATGCTGGCTCAGGAATTCTGGGAGTTGTAGTCCACCAGTCATAAAAGAGCCAAGGTGGCCTTCCTCTGGCCTAGACCTAGGCTGCTTTATGACTTGTGGATTTCAGCTCCCAGAATTCCTGAGCCAGCAGGGCTCAGCTTGGAAACCTCTCCCTTTCCCCTCAGCATGGCTGGCTCAGGAATTCTGGGAGTTGACGTCCACCAGTCATAAAAGAGCCAAGGTTGCCTAGCCGTGACAGACATGACTGCAGGTGACCTCTCTCGACCAATGGAGGAATCACCTGCCTTGTCTTTATCCTATCCTTCGACTGAATGACAGCTCCAAAACTGGAAGTTTTAAAGAAAAGATTGGACAACCATTTGTCTGAAATAGTATAGGTTTTCCTGCCTGAGCAGGGGGTTGGACTAGGTGATCTCCAAGGTCTCTTCCAACTTCTTCATCATCATCATCTCCCACAATCCCTTTTCTGCTTTTGAGTGATCCCCATAATCCCTGGCTTGCCTTTCCCATAATCCCATGCATTTAGGACAGTTGTGTTGAAAGAAAAGTCTTCATCCTCGTTCATCCAAGCCGGGGATAAATAAACAACTGCTTTAGAAAGAAGAAAGAAGGTTGCAGTTTATTGAAGAGGAGAGCCAGACAGAAAGATGGTTCTGGCTGGAAAGAGGAGAGAAAAAAGGGCTGAGCACATGTGGGGAGTGGGTTTTTATACCCTCTGAAAGCCTTTTGTTTGGAGTTGCTTCCTGTTCCTGTGTTGAGGCTTTGTATTTCCTGTGTCAGGTATTCTGACCTGAGTCTGGGTGTGCCTTTCTGGTATTCTTCATGGTGGTAGGTTAATCCTATTATATCCCAAGGTCATATCCTGCTTTCCTGGTGCTGGGGCTAATGACCTTAGAGTTTGGGTGCGGTATGCAGATGTTAGGTGTCTTTGTCTTCCTAAGCTTCTAGCTCCAACTTTCCTGATGGTTTACATCTGCATTTGTACAGGGCTAGCTTCTGCTTGGGACAGGGAGACTTGGGGCAGGGTTAGTTTCTGCTTTTTAAAATCTTTTTGAGGAAATATATTTTTCTGCCCTTTTAATATTTTCTTCTCTGGGGGGGGGGGCTGACTTCCCACAATTGCATTGTCCTGGGGTAATGTGATCACTGTTTGTAACTTCCCAGCCAGCTTCTGAGAAGCTGATTTGCTGGGGGAAGCCAGGTTTGTTTCACTTAATGATTTTGATGCAATGATTTTCTGATCAGTTGTGACAGAAAAGGTAAAAGGACGCACAATTTGCTTAGCAACTGCCTGGCTTATCAAGGGAAATTTAATGGTGGCCATTCATTGAGGACCACCTGTATTCAAAAGATAGATCTTACAAGCTTAAGGTATGGGATGCTTTCTTCCTGCAATTTAATGAGCAACATCTAATTTAGCTTTTGAAGAACCTGTTAAAGACCCTTTGATTAGATTCAGTATTGAGTACCTGTGAAACACTAAAATTGCACTAATTCTGTTTAACTGTTTCCTGGGAATTTTTAATACACGTTTCTGCTTTGCCTGTTTTCTTTGGAGCAAACTACAGATAGTAAAAAAATAAATAAATTTCATTTTCTCACTCCTTGTAAGCCTAATGGGCTTACAAGACATCTATACAAGACATCTATAGATTCATCCCACCCATCCATCCATCTAGGGACTCTGTTGATCATTGGAAAGCTAAGAGAACACACATTGTGGATTTGAATGGCTGTTCAATTTTTATTTTGCACAAACATATGAATTGCAAATGTCCTAGCAAACATTTCAGAACAATCTTATCGCCATCAGTTTGGCATTATTGTCCACCAGTTCATAATCTAAAGTAGTTTTTGCAGTGTTCTTCCTCAAATCTTCTCATTCTTGATCGCATACGGAATCAACCATGCAACCCTCTGGAACAGCAAAAGCGAAAGAAACGGTCAAAAAAGTTAATATCAGCAACAGAGTTCAAATCTTAAAAGTTGCTAAGTTTGAAGACCCCTGTTCAAGTTCTCTTGTGTCCCTGTCTGTTAATAAACATTTTTGCCCTGTGGGATCTATTAATATCCTGAAGGAAAATGATGCTGGTTTTTTTTAGAGCTATATTAGCAACTTGTGTTGACCCTAAAGTTCCTCTCCGGGCTGAAGTGGAAATGAAAACTTGAAAAGAAAAAAATAGGTTGGCTACAGGTAATTCTTGACTTACGGCTGCGACTGAGTCCAAATTTTCCGTTGCTATTTGAGGACAGTTGTTAAATAAGATTTGCCCCATTTTATGATCACCCTGCCAACAAAAGTCCGTATAGTCAAGACCATGGTTTTCCCAGTTGCAATGTATGGCTGTGAAAGGTGGACCATAAGAAAGGCTGAGCGCAAAAGAATGGAGGCCTTTGAACTCTGGTGCTGGAGAAGACTCCTGCGAGTCCCCTGGACTGCAAGGTGATCCAACCGGTCGGTCCTAGAGGAGATCAACCCCAACTGCTCTTTAGAAGGCCAGATCCTGAAGTGGAAACTCAAGTCCTTTGGCCACCTAATGAGAAGGACTCACTGGAGAAGAGCCTGATGCTGGGAAAGATGGAGGGCAAGAGAAGAAGGGGACGACAGAGAAGGAGGTGGCTGGATGGAGTCCCTGAAGCAGGAGGCGTGAGCTTCAATGGACTCCAGAAGATGGTAGAGGACAGGAAGGCCTGGAGGAACGTTGTCCGTGGGGTCGCGATGGGTCGGACACGACTTCGCAACTAACAACAACAACAAAATGATCTTTTTGGCACAATGATTAAAGGAATCTCTGCTTGGCCACTGGCCCCCATTGACCGGCATTTGCAGTGTCCCGCAGTCATATAACCATGATGGACATTTTGCCCCCAAACCAACATTTACTTCTGATAACCTGCAAATACCCGCCAATAGCAGTGGGGTGGCTTTACGCCTGCTGGGTTCACTTAACGACCGTCGCGAAACATCATAAAATCAGACGCCGTGTTCGCTTCACGGTCCACTTAAAAAACGTCACGATCCAGGCTTACGATGGAATTGAAAGAGAAAAGCGGATTAGAATATTTTGAAATCTGGGATAAATTGTACCATTGGTGGGAATCAAGGAGGACCGTTAGGATTATAGATTAGCGATAAGGTGGAAATATATACATTCCTAGGTTAGCAAATAGAGAAAATGTACTAAGTATTGTATAAAAAGTTTATATTTATAGAGGTAAAGAATTGAATGTAAGAGGAGAAATAATTTGATAGAAATGTTCAAACTGGAACGTTACGTCATGTCCAATGTTTTCTTTTTTTTTTAATTGTATTATAAATAAAAAAACTTTTTTAATTAAAAAAAAGTCACGATCCCGGACTCAGTGACGGACGTAAATCGAGGACTATAAATCAAGGACTACCTGTATTTTTTTTGTTAAAAAAAAAAAAAAATCCGGAAGAAGGTTAGCATGTGCTCACCGTGATTGCAGCAGATGCCAGAAGCAGCACAGGTTCCCCCGTTGCTCCCGCACGTCTTCCTTCCAGACTCGCAAGGGGTCGGGAGAAAAATTTCTTCCTGGCATCGCAAAGTTTCCGCTGTGCCAAAGTAACAACCCAGATCTTCTCCGCAACAGATGTTGGGCCCGAAGCAGTGGCCTCTGTTCCTAGGTCCGCAGGAAATGCACTAGCGAGAAAAATCAACCTTCAAAAGATTAGTAAATGTTATTTCATAAATATTTAGTACCAGGAGCTCAACATGTCTGTCGTTAAGGGAGACATTTGTTAAGTGTGTTTCGCCCCATTTTGCGACCTTTCTCGCCTCGGTTGTTAAGTGAATCCTTGCCGTTGTTAAGTTAGTAACCCGGTTGTTAAGTGAATCTGGTTTTCCCCATTGAATTAATAATAATAATAAATAATAAAGTTGGAAGGGAACAATTGACTAACGGCGAATTTGGCATTGACAAATTCACCATTAGTCAATTGCAAAAGGCGACCTTCCTAGGAACTGCTTCCATCCTGCGACGATATCTGTAATACCATCAAACATCCACATCTGCCTATCCCAGGTCCTTGGGAAGGACTCGATAGGTAGACAAAATGCCAAATCCAGTCTGAACATCTGGCTGACTGTGCGATGATCCATAATAATAAAGTTGGAAGGCACCTTGGAGGTCATCAAGTCCAACCCCTTGCTCAGGCAGGTAACCCTACATCATTTTGGACAAATGGCTGTCCAGTTTCTTCTTAAAAACGTCCAGTGTTGGAGCATTCACCGCTTCTGGAGGCGGGTTGTTCCACTGGCTAATTGTTCTAACTGTCAGGAAGTTTCTCCTTAGTTCTAGGTTGCTTCTCTCTTTGGTTAGTTTCCATCCGTTGCTTCTTGTCCTGCCTTCCGGTGCTTTGGAGAATAGCTTGACTAACTGTCAGTCAGAAGATCGCAAAAGAGGATCACGTAACCCTGGGATACTGCGACCATCATAAACGCAGATAAGTAAAAGAAGTAAAAGAAACAATGATAACATGGGCAAAGAACTCTGGATATAATATAGAATTAGAAGACTGGCAAAAGTTATGGGGAAGAAATATTAAATTAACTAGAGCAGTGGCATATAAAGAAAATTCACATGAAATGTTT